TAATAATAATAATAATAATAATAATAATAATAATAATAATACCTATCCCATGAGATAAACAGTAAAATATTCAGTTACTGTTGCAGCACTACGCCACATCAAGGGTCATTTGATCTGAACAACCAGTAGTGGGAAAAGGTCACTTATAAAAATATCAGAGTCCTTTGCAAAATTGTGTATCAAAATGAAAGGTTAATTGTACTACTGAGTAGCTTAAAATAATTTTAAAGAGTAGAAAAGATTCAAATGTTTGCTGGGGAAGAACAGAATATGGGAAGATAAATTATTTCACAGAGATGAAAAGTAATCCATGATCCATGAGATTCTGATGAACGAATGATAAGGAAGTGTGATGAGATTTCATCAATTATTCCTGAATCTATCAGTCCTTCTGTTACTGTGTTCTCTCTTCTAAACAATCTCTGAATTTCTATGAATACAGCATTTTTATCCTCCATCCCTTCCAAAGAATTCTATAGATACTCAACTTTCACCATCATGGTTATCTCTGTCACACTGAAAGATTACTGTGGAAAACATAAGCAGCAGCCACAGGCACCAGATGCTGGTCCCCAAAAGTTCTGGGTTATAATCTTAAGGAGCCCATCAAACACTACTAATAGTGTAATGGTATGTGGGAATGACCTTGGGAGACAGGAGGAAGAATCACAGCCTAGACATCAGTCTGATAAACAAAATTTAAGTCTGAAGGAAGAGGGGTGGCAAAAGCATCTCAGAAGAGACCCTCCCTAGTTTTTGGGAGAATAAAAGTGAAGGAAGGGAGAGGTACTTTCAGACTTGCAAGATTCTGTTAATGTAACCTTACAATAAAGATAGAGCTAGTACTCTTGGTTGTGCTTCTTGTCTGGACTACCTTGCAAGGCTGACAAATAGTTAAAGATATCAAGAACTGTAACTGAAACATATGAAGTCACTAGGCTGCAACGACTTACAAATACACCCACTCCTTCACATGCTAAGATGCTAATCACTCTATTTGCAAACATAACCGGCCCCCCCAAAAAAACCCTTTATTTGGTAAATATAAGAGAATCGCTCAGGAGTGGGGGGAAGGGAGAAGACTAATTTTAGTCCTTTGGCAGTCATAAGAAGACAGAAGAATGGATAAATTATCTTATAAGTCTGTTTTAACTGACTGCCTGGGCACGAGTATAATGACTTTGGGAGACGGACAGAGGAAACATCCTCCCAGCCGAGCCAGAAGCCCTAGACCAGTGTTTCTAACCTTGGCCATTTTAAGATGTGTGGACTTCAACTCCCAGGACTCCCCGGCCAGCATTCGTCCCCCCTGGCCGGGGAACTCTGGGAGTTGCAGTCCACACATCTTAAAATAGCCAAGGTTGAGAAACACTGGTCTAGACGCTGGGCAGTGGCACGACTGACCTCAAGCAGCAACCGCAATGGAAAATGGCCTGGACGAACAGTATTGCATGAGGCCTCTCCTCGGAAAACAGAACCATCTTCCCGAGGACCAGGTGGCAGCCCGAAGCTCGCCCTCACTCACCCCGGCTGCGCTTCCGCAACAGCTCCCACCGTCGCGTCCCCCTCGACATCGACATCTAACTCTTCCACAGCCTCCATACTGGCACCTCCGCCGGATCTCGCGGTAATGACACAGGAAGGGAGTCAAACGTCCCGCCCCTGGGCCGGCGCGTCTTCCGCCCTGGAACTCGGGCGTGGATGAAGTTACAGAAGCTGCCCTCGAGACCTGCGCGTGCGCGAAAGGCAACTGGATGCTCGTTGCTTTTGCTTCCGGCTTTAGTTGGTTGCGGTGGGGAGAGTGTGGCGGGGCTGGAGGGATGCTAGGGAAGGACCAGTGTGGTGGGAGAAGGAACAGAGGGAGGCAGTATGCATACATACCCGCCCTAAAATTAGCGTTAAAATTGCTCCCAGAGGGGTAGCTCCCCAAGCAGCATGTAATGAAAACAGAAGACACACTGGCATTTCTGAAAGGTCAAGTTTATAAATCTGCGAGTCACTTACTTATGTGTTTGTGGACACTTTTAAGGCATTCCATTAGGCTGGAGCGACCAGATGCCTCTTGCTTTAAGTAGGGCTGCCAGATGTGGGCTGAGAAGAGCTGTGTAATTTCTGCATTTCTGCTTCCACCTAGGGGTCATTCCGATTTTTGTGTTCCTACTTTAAACAGCATTCCTGGCTCACCAGCTGAGAATGTTTAAAGGTGTATCTTCCATACCGGGAAGGCATTTGAGTCGTGACCCCCATGAGGGATTCATCTGCAGAGGATGAAGCGGAGCCAGGAGGGGTCCTGGAGATGAGGGGTCCAGAGACAAATGGCAGCACTGGGGAAGAGCTGCAGCAAAGATCCTGTGCAGAGTTCCTCCAAGCAACCTCCAAGTTCCTGAGAGCAGCAAAGCGTTGAAAACCACATAGCTGAAAGCTGCAGGAGAGAGGGACTACAGGGAAAGTCTTTGGGAGAAACAGCCAGGAATCAGGGTTGTTCCTGAACAGACAGGCAGTCTGAACTGGATCAGTGCCACCAATTAATTTATAAAGCAGGGCAGTTTGAAAAGATCTAGTGTGCTACTAACAAGATCCTTGCCTTCTGTGTTCGAGTGATCAGTTGTTAGAATCCTTGCCTCATGTCCAGGACTGATTACTTGGACCTAGACCTGATTTGTACCCTGATCTTGCTCTTGTCTTAAACCCCCTTGTATTGGGAAATATTTTATTATTGAAGACCTTTCCCAGTACTGAGTTGAGGTGCTTCCCACCTATTCTTAAATATTCAGAAAACTATGCTGATGGGAAAGTGCTGTCCTCATTGTGAACCTTCACTTACATCTGTTTAAATCACAGCAGACACCTGAATTTCCTCCAAGGTTATAGGTGACAAAACCTAGCAGATTTTAAACACTATGAGGCTTGGATGCCGTGAGAATAAGGGGGGGCAAAATACTTTGTTTACACTGGTACAGCAAAGGACAATTTAAGCCTCTTTCATAGGTAGAGGACAAACTGCAGGCAACATTATGGGGACACAGCAGGAAAAACAAAAATATGTTGCCAAGCCATCTAGTTCTACTCCAATGCCATTTGTACTGCAGTCTGGCATTTTAAACCAGGGTCTCTGACTGGGCCTCCAAGCTGATCTCAAGCTCTGAGAGCTGGATTTGAAAGAAGATCAGCTCAGCTGAAACTGACTGGTGTGGGGTGGCTGCATGATAAAGAGAGAAAGAGCCAGCTCCTCTTGCTCTTTTACCACACAGCTACTTCCCCCACCTCTGGACTTTTTTTGAACACATTTAGCATTTTTTTTTGGAAGAGTGCTGAGCCTGTGTTCAAAAGGAGTCCAATTAATATTGCACAATCCCACCCCACCCCCACCTCTTAAGCTTGTGAAACCCCAGGTCTGCCAGGTGAGATGGCTTTTTCAAAGCCCACCGGTTTCCCAGTCTAATGGGTCAGTAGATTTATGGATTTGGAGACCTGGCAAGTAAAAAGCTGGATTTCTCCTTTCATTTGCCACCTTTCCCAATCCATGAGATTAGAAACCTCAGTGAAAGAGCTTCAGGATGATCTATCTGCAACCTGATCTCTCAGATCTTCAGCGGTATTTATCAAATATAGGAGTATTGTACTGCTTGTTGTTAGTATGTCATATGCATGTTCTAGCCCCACAAATGATTCTTAATATTTAAACAACTGAAAGATCAAAACATTAAATTCTTTTGGGGGAATGTTTTTATAGATCACTTCTTATAAAATTGTTAAGAAAATGTTGATTTAAACCCTGAGAAAAATGTGACAGTGCACAGAGCTATTAACTACCTTATATAGGATATGTACATGCTATTCAGTTGTGTTCAATCCTACATGAAAGATTGCCTGAGAACCTGATGTAAGCTCCTTGAGTTTGTCAGTGATACAGTTGGACAAATGTCTAATAAATTACAATACAGAGGGAGAAGAAGGTACATTCCGTACAATTTGGCTTTATTAAGAACAAGTTTCAAAACACCCAGTATAATAATGTTTCCATTATATAAAGTGTATAGCAATACTTTATGTTTAAACTATCAAATGCATTCTGTTACAGTTTCTGGATTCTAAACAAAAGAGTATTGATCTAATACAATAATGTGGTAACTAGCTTTACTCCCAGGTTCACTTTGGGTCATATCCATTTATGTGTTAATATGTTTGGTACAGAAACCCTACCTTATGTTGTACTTGGTGCTAACATCAACACATTTTACAGGAATACAGCCAGGTAATAACTATATTTCACTGCTGAATATAGTGTAGTTACAAGCTTTATAGTGTAAGCAGTCTTATTTATTTATACTAAAGCCGATAACCCCACTTTCACCTCTGAAAATTGGATGCCTGAAGCAGCTATCGTCCATTCAAAAACAACATATTAACAGAAATAAAATGTGTATTCGTGTCAATGCATATAAATCAAGAGAAATGAAACTAATAATTATAATAATTTTAGAGCTAGACCAAAACTACATGGAAGTAGTAAGCAAAATCAAGCCTTGCTGAAGAACACTGGCTAGGACAAGGAAGAAAATGTCTTAAATTTCTACAGCGAAGCATTTTGCAGTTTTGGTGCAACTGTCAAAAAGAAGATGCCTCTAACTGCTCTGCGGAAGCCAACACAAATATTTGTACATATAGATGGTTCAAAAGGTAGGGGTTTCTATAGGATTGCTCCTGAGATCAAATTTACAGCCCTCCTTCCATGGCCACCTTGGCTTATTTAATTGTTTTTTCTCAAAAGATCCAGTTAAAGATAAATCAGGTATGCTTCATCCCTGCAGTGAAAAGCCAAATACTGATTCACTGAGAAGATGCGGTATTCTGGTTTTGATAATCTGTAAACCCAAACATCTGGAGGATACCAGATTGGGGCAAACTATATGCATCAATTAGATCTTTAACTGGATCTCTTAAGTTAGATATACAAGGTGTATTATATAATTCCCTTTTTGCATATCTACCTTATCAGTAACATTTTCTTTTTCAAAAGATTAACAATTTGAGCTTGGTGTTCAGTGGCACTGGATTCTGCTACTTGCAGTGGTGTCTTCTTCAAGCTATTAGTAGCCTGTAGATTTGCTTTATCTTGTGCAGACCAGCTGAGCAGTGCGCTTACAGAATCCAAATGACCAGCTTTGCAAGCACAATGCAATGGGGTATCTTTATTGTTGTCTAAGGCATTAATTGCTGAGCCATTGCTCAACAAAAAAATTATTAAATTACTGTGTCCATGTTCTGCTGCAAGATGCAATAGTGTCTTTCTCCAAATATTTTTGTCATTGATATTTTTATTATCTCCAGCAGTCAAAAGTTCTTTTAGTATCTCCATATTCCCGTTGATGGCTGCATAATGCATTGGCATGCAGCCATCCATGTCTTTGCTTCCAACTCTAGACTTATTAACTAACAGTGATTTTACTGCATAAAAATGGCCTCCCTTAGTTGCAAAATGAAGTGGAGTCTTTTTCTCTTTATCTGTTGCATTTGGATCTGCCTTGGAATTCAGAAGCAGTCCCACCATAGCAGGATTCCCCACTTCAGCTGCAAGATGAAGAGGTGTCTTTGATCGCTTATTCTTGAGGTTGACATTGGCTCTATGTTGCAACAGCTTTAGAGCTACATCAACGTGACCTTTATAGCTTGCCATGTGCAATGGAGTAAATAGTTCTATGGTGACTCCATCAATTTTAGCTCCTCCTTCAATTAATAAGTCAACTAAGGCTCCTCTATTGTGTATTGCAGCAACATGGAGGGGAGTTTGATCTCCTTGAGCTGTAATGTTAGGATCTATCCCCTTCTGGAGAAGCATCTTTGCAATGGAAAAGGCCCCAGCTTGAACTGCTAGGTGTAAGGTACTACTTGAGTTAGGAGCCTTGTCCTTCAAGTTGGCTCCCTTCTCAATGAGAACTTTTGCTGACTTAATCTTCCCCATTTCACATGCCACAAGCAATGGTGTGTACTGCTCTTCATTACGGACATTAATGTCTGTACCTCTTTCAATTAAAGCTGCTACAATGCCATGCAGATCTTTTTCTATGGCTTTAAACAGGGTTGATACCATAGTTTCAGATGACAATCCTCTGGCATATTCCAGCAATAATTTGAAGAGAGATTGGTTGTTGCTATTAAAGGCTGCATCAGTTATGTTGGAATCAACATTGGCTCCACCTTCCAACAGTACCTTGACAGTCTTCTCATATCCCTTAGACACAGCATAGCTCAAGGCAGTCTGGTGTCTCTCATCCTTGGCATCTATCAAAGCACCATTTTTTAAAAGTATTTGAACCAGGTCACTATCATCCTTGAGAGCAGTCATGTGCAGGAAGTTGTGCTGATTCTTGTGTCGTCTTGTCTCTTCTTTCAAAATGTTCTTTAGAACATGAATATGCTGGTTCTGATTGGCCAAGTGAAGTGGGGTTTTGCCTTCTTGATCAAAACTGTACATGTTGGCACCAGCTTGGAGCAGCATTTTTACTGCTTTATCATGACCTCTCCCAGCAGCTCTGTGTAGTGGGGTTCTTCCTTTGTTATCCTTGACCTCCAGTTTGGCACCTTTGCTGATTAAATAGTCAATTATTTCAGTGTGCCCATGAGCTGCTGCAATGTGTAAGAGAGTTTCATTTGCAGAGTTTGTTGCATTCACATTACTCACATTTAAGGCTTTTTCCAAATCAGAAAGAATTCCTTTCCTCACGAAATCAAAGACAGTAGGAACATTAAGGTCATTGTCTAGAGATTGTCCTGCTGCCAAAGTGGTTTTTTCTTTAGGTTTATCACAAATCAGCTTTTTTGGCTTAATAGGTCTAGGGCTATCTTTTTTCTCTTGATATGGAGCCTTATCCTTTTGAACCCATCCTTTATCTTTTTCAAGGAGATACCCTATCAGTTGTCTTCTTGAATCTCCAATTTTCCCATTCACATCACTCACATAATTCCTCATATTGCTATATAAGTGTGGCTCAATCTGTTTCAAGCATGGATAAAAAAAAAGTCTGCAAGCTCGCTCACCTTGAGAAGCCAAGATATCCAAAACGCGGGAGTTCTTTGCCGTTCGTGTTCTATAGTAGGATAAAATCATTTTTTTCTCAGCCGTAAGGACACCATTTTCTATCAGCCAGTTCAGAAGGTGATCAGGGTTTTTTATGCCTTCCACAAGTTCATTCTTTTTAGTTTTCAGTACTTCTATGGCATATGGATTTGTGAATATGCTAGAATACATTCTGTTTTTAGATGACTTGAGAACAATACACTGTATCCTTTGAAGTTTAGCATTTACTGTAATTGTAGCTCATTGAGGTTTATGCCAACAAATATTGTGGTGGCTCAACTGAAAAAATCAGGAACAAACTTTCCCTCCTGCAAAAAGCATAAATTCTTTACCTTTTATGGTTCAATGCCATTGATGTCTTATCCTCTTTTCTGTTGCTTAATAACAGAGTTGACAAAGGTAAAAAAAATACAGTGCAATTAAAAAGTATTCCAATATATGGGTAGCCCAAAACATTGTAACAAGAATACGTGTCTCAAACTTGGTATCTAAGTTCTTGATTAGAAACTTTTTTCATTATTTGCTGTGGGAGCCATCTGTCAAAGTACTGTAAAACTAACCAGCAGGCTGTTTACTGTTGCTATGTAACTGGCCTTTGTGTAATGTTAAGATAAAATAGTAAGCCTTCAGTTAATTAAACAAAGGCGTTTCATACAGTGTTCAAGAACAGCACTGCTGCATTACTAACAAAAGTAAGCCAAGTAAGATTTTTTACCAAGAAGTGTTCTTGTTGTGAAAGTCAGAATGATAAATAGCATTTTACCATATATACATATATGTATGTATGTATGTACTAGCAGGCAACATAGCAGACATAGAGACCAGCTACAGGTACCTTGGTGTTCCATAGTCACATGGGATCCATGATGAGGAGGCAAGGAAGACAGCAACATCCAAGTACCACCAAAGGATAAGGCCGGTCCTGAAGAGCCAGCTCAATTGAAAGAACAAGATCCACACCATAAACATGTGTGCTCTGCCAGTCATCAGATACCCTGCTGGTATTGTGAGCTGGCCAAAGGAGGACATGGAGGCTGCTGATGTGAAGACCTGGAAGCTCCTCACAATGTACGGAGGTTTCTACCCCAAGTCCTACATCCAGAGACTGTACACCAGCTGGAAAGAGGGTGGGCGCGGTCTAGTGAGTGTCAAAGCCATTGTCCTGGATGAAACCCAGAGCATCCAGGCATATATCAGTAAGATGGCACCCAAAGATGAGCTGCTAAGAGAATGCTTGAGGCAGCAGCAGGAGGAAGTTCAAGCAGAGGAAGTACCATGGTAAGACAAGACCCTGCATGGGATGTACCATTGACAGATTGCTGAGGTGGCTGACAT